ACCAAGGAATGTAGCTCGTCCGAGCACTTTCCATAGTTGTAGCGCTAGAGCAGTGAGAGCCTCGCCACATACTGCCTGGAAAGTGAGCTCTGGGTTGCTCCTGCCCAAATATGGCACCATTACTCCATTTTTTCAGCCTGATCTGGCTCTTAGGTATCCCTCGAACCTTTTTATCCGTGAACTGTGAGGGTCTCCAGATACTAAAAGCACTTTTTGTGAAAAGACGTTGTTGAACGGTATTGATTCAGACTTGCCATCTCCCGCACAGGGAAAAAGTCAAAGTATTTTTTCATTATGGAGGAGGATATACGCATGAACAGCTATTACATTTTGATCCCATATTGAAGGCCGAGAAATGGCGTCTTGATCTCATTTAAGGGATGTGACATTCAAAAATTTTTTTTGGTGTGCTCACATATATAAACAGATACTAAACATAAATATTGTCTTGAATGTTACGGTATAAAATATGTGTCAGATCCAGTATTTACCCTGATTCAAGCAACACGGTGGGGTGATGTTACACAAGGTCATTTATTAATGTGCGCCAATACCCGTGAAAAGATACTACACTTAGTATTTACAAGCTGGCAGGATACGACACAAGGTCTGTTTAACGTGGGGACCCGAATCGCGTGCACTCGGGCCAGGTCCCAAAATAGCCCAGCCCTAGCAGCCGTCGGTGGTGCTGGCATTTGTCTTACTAAATTTGTTCTTTAGTGCAATTTTCGAGGTACTGCAACGGGAAACTGATCCCCGGGACTGGACACCTCTCATTAATATTTTCAGTTGCACCCTTTTCGAAGACAAGGACACAATTGAGAGATAAAATATAGTTTGATAGCCCGATTTAGATATATGCATATTCATTTGTCTCGAAGTCCGGGGAAATACAGTCTGATCCGGTATTTACTCCTAAACCGTCCTTGGTATGACGATAAAATCGACAGCAAGGCCTCTTATCAGGAGATTTTAAGGAACTTAGAACCACCTCATAATGTCTAGTGTCCCAGGTTCACCCTGACCCGAGGTGGTAGCACCTGTCATGGTCCCAGATATGGGCAAATAGTTAACCCCACAAAATACTATGAAAGTATAAAAATAGGTTTTAACAAACTTATTACCAGCAATATATTTTTGGAAAAAAAATTATTACAAACTCTAAAAATCTTGTTGAGATTAAATAACCCAATGAGGTTGATATCCCGTAAAATAATACAATTAAACAATTTAATCCCACCGCACGGTGGAGGAATGTGAGACGAAGTCATTTTAACAGGACGTACCCATACGCGTGAACAGATACAACACTTTGATCCCGTCCCGAAGCCCGGGAAAATACAGTCTGATCCAGTATTTATTCTCCAACTCACGGTGGGGGGAATGTGAGACAAGGTCATTTTAATATGACGTACCCATACGCGTAAACAGATACTACAGTTTGATCCCGTTCAGAAGCCCAGGAAAATATAGTCTGATGCAGTATTTACTCCCCAACTTACGCTGGGTGTAATGTGAGACAATGTCATTTTAATATGACGTACCCATACGCATGAACAGATATTACAGTTTGAAAAATGTTCAGATAAAAAAAATTTGGGAAAATTAGTTTGATCCAGTATTTAATCCCCAACTCGTGAACAGATACTACACATTAATCTCATGTAGTCCGGGGAAAATGATATTTTATCCTAGCCTAGAATAACGGATCCATGCGTAAGTAATCCGGGCATTATTTACTACAAGAAACAATTCTCAGTACCAGTTAACTTTGAGCAGTTCGACAGTTTGTTATCTTTATTGAGGACGGAATTGATGGCCTCACTGGTCAATAGACGGCGTCGGTCAGTCTGTAAAGCCATGTGTTTTTCGTTTGAAAGACAACCTGGGAGTGAAGTTCTTGAAAGAATGGGCTTTGAATATATAGCAACATCACCAAATTTTGTGTCGACTTGGACAGTAAATTCTGACGATTCTGCCTCTCGTGCTAACAAAGACTGCCACAACAGTGACCCCGATCGATCATTGTCTTTCGTAATTACTTTATTGCGAGAGAATCCCAAGTAGGCTGGCGCGTCTAACATGATTAAAACTTGGATTTAGCAGCAAGAATGACAAAAGGAATTTAAGAAGCTATAGTTTCTTAGGCTAGAATTTCTGTTGAAGATTCTTTTTTATTTTTTATTTTTACAATTTTTAGCGTGTGAACTTCATAGTTTAGAATGAAGACAGTCTCGATGGAATCGAACCCACAACTTTAGAATAAATATGTGAGAATAGAAAGACGACAGTTTCTGACAGCAAAATTCAAAATGCTTGTCTTGATACGTACACACACACACACACACACACACACATTTATATATATATATATATATATATATATATATATATATATATATATATATATATATATATATATATATATATATGTATGTATGTATGTTTTTTGACGTCACACATTATCAAATGGACAAAGTCCGACAATTATTTTTTAAGACATTTTTAATGTTTATACATTCTTTTTATAGATACAAATATTTAAGTAAATGTTCTGTTTATAATAAACAGTATTAACAACATTTACCGGCCCGAATGTCCGGGAAATTTTCATAGAAAATATTTGTCCTCAGAATCGAACCGCCATATAGCCTGAAGTGCCTTTAATCCATTGGGCCACAGTGGAGCGTTCGGTTAGCAAGTTCGATTTTACTGTTTTTAAACACAATTCTCTATGATTTTCTCTCATACATTCATATCTGCTCAATGCGTACCCAAATGTAAACAAATGACGTCACACATTATTAAGGACGCATATTTTCTTCAAATATTTTAATGCAATGTCAATCGCTATCTACTGTCCTCCTGATTACTCTTTTCTCTTCCTGCTCATTATTAATGTTTCTAATTCTTCCACGCCCAGTAACTCCTTGTGTCTTAGTGTCTTTATTGCCTTACTTATGGCAATCCCTTCCGTCTCCATACTTTCTATCCAACTTTAATCTTCAAATATTTAAATGCAATGTCAACTGCTATCTGTTGTCCTCCTGATTACTCTTTCCACTTCCCGCTCATTATTAATGTTTCTGTTCCTAATTCTTCCACACCCAGTAACCCCTTGTGTTTTTGTGGCTTTATTGCCTTGCTTATGGAAATCTCTTCCGGTTCCATGCTTTCCAGTCAACTTTAATCTTCAAATATTTAAATGCAATGCCAATCGGTATCTCCTATTCACTTGGTTACACCTTTTTCCTTTCCGCTCATTAGGAATATTTCTCTGATTTGTAATTCTCTCACACCCAGTAACCTCTTATGTTTTAGCGGCTTTATTGCCTTCCATGCTGTGAAATCGATTAAAAAGAAAGCTATGTCAAGGAAGCACGGATTCAAGAACTGGAGATCCGCGTTCGAATTCCAGTCGAATCCATTACATTCACTTCGGTGCTAATACCCTTGGGAAAGGTGTAAAACCTCTTCTTCTCCCTCCAGCTATGAGTAAATAGCAGACTGGGTTCTATAGCCTTGAATGGCAACAGGTCTACCGTAAGCAGAAATGGCAACATACTGCGGGAAAAAATCTGCCTCGTCAGTCATGTATCGAAAGTTACATGATTGGCTAAGCGTATGGCCCGTCCTGGGTATGACGTTAAACTACATCCGCGTCCTGGGTATGACGATAAGCTACATCCGCGTCCTGCGGATGAGGATAAACTACGTCCAACAGCAAGGCCTCTGATCAGGAGGTTTTGAGGAGCGTGGAACCATCTCTTAATTACTGGTGCTCCCAGGTCAACCCTGACCCGGGGTGGTAGCACCTGTTAGGGTCCCAACTATGGGTAAATAGTTAACACTCAAATTGGGGTCAAAACACTATGTAAGTGTAAAAATAGGTTTTAGTACCAGAAATACTTTGTAAAAAAAAATTATTACCGGCAATACATTTTTGAAAAAAAGAGATGTTACCAGAAATAAAAAAAATTATCGGCATTAAATATCCCATTGAGGTTGGTATGCCTTAAAACAAATCAAGCCAATCACGCATGGCACTTAACTGACTTTTTTCTTCTTTTTTTTTTAAGCATTACGCCCCGAGTAAGGCGTGAAGCCACTACGATGGAGGGGGTTGCAGAAGATTTGGAGCAAGAGCAGATAGGAGTGATAGAAGAAAGGAAGAGGAGAAGGATAGTGGATAGATCAAATAACTGGAGATGTCGATTGACATTACATTTTAATAGTTGGAGATTATAGCTTTCAGGGAAACAGTAATATGGGAAGGGTGTTCCACAGGCGAGAGGTGCGAGGTATGAAGCTATTGGAGTAGAAGAGACGGCTACATTTAAAAGTTTCTATAGTGTAAGGGTGGGAGCGCCTCTTTAAGCCTCGTAGGGCGCTTGAATTCATGAAGTCTAGGAACCAGTGAAAGCAGCTCATCGGAGCAATTACCATGAAAGTATTTGTAGAAAAGACAGAGAGAGGCGACAGCGCGTCTGTGAGAGAGTGACTGTAGACGAGATGCCAGATCAGCGCCAGTTATATTACATATCCGTCTCTGGATCTTGTCAAGAACTCCGAGGTAAACAGAAGGTGCACCAGACCATATATGGCAGCAATACTCCATGCAAGGGCGAATGGTTGATTTGTAGATTTGAAGGATCGATTCCGGGGAGAAAAATTTCCTGGCGCGGCCCAGAAGATAAATAAAACTAAATACAAGAGAAGACATTATTTACAAGCAAATAATTTACTTACATTGTCTTGTGCACAGGCCGCTGGAGATATGCATGCCATCAAAAAAAATTAAATGTTTCGTCATGACCTGGATTAGATCCCGTTTCGTCTATTTGCTGTGTTTTCCATTCCAATTTCGCCACCTGTCGTATCAATTCGCCACTCACCGTCCCTTTCTTCAAGCCGCCAGGATTTTCTATTTTATCAAATTATGACTGACGCCAATATCGTGAAGTCTAACCCACCTCTAATATCCACCACCCACCGGTTGGATGCCCTTCACCCCCTCATCTTTTCACGACCAGCATACAACCTTTGTCTTCAGCTATACTTTTTATTTCTTCGCTATGTTTATTCTGTTTTTCTCTATCTCTTGTCTTTTTACATCTATTTTTGTTTTTTTTCCTTATTTAGAGAAAAAATTCTTTCCTTTTTTTTCAGGTTTAGACTTTTTTTTTTTCCTTCTTTGTTTGTTTGTTTGTTTTTTTTCGAATTTCTTTCTTTACTTTATTGATTTTTTTTTCAACATTCTTTTTTCCTTTCAATTTCCTATTTAAATTTCTTTCTATTCTATCATTTTTCTTTCTTTTCTTTCTTGTCTTTGCATATACCGATCTCAGATTTCTCATATCTATCTATCTATCTATCTATCTAACTAGCCATCCATGCATCTATCTATCTATCTATCTATCTATCTATCTATCTATTTATCTATCTATTTCATTCTGCTGATATCTATCTATCTATTTATCTATCTATCCATCTATCTATCTATTTTATTTATAAATACACATGCATTTATAAGGCTGTTAATATCTCGGTATATCCATATCTATCTATCTATCTATCTATCTATCTATCTATCTATCTATAACAGACATTCATTTTGTCTCATTTATATTTCTCTCTCTCTCTCTGCCGAGTGAACGTAATCAAATCCCTCAGTCAGTCAACATGTTTATTCATAATATTATCTATCTATCTATCTATCTATCTATCTAGCCATCCATGCATCTATATATCTATATATCTATCTAATATTCAGGAATTTTAAGGAAATCTATTATCTATCTGATATTCATATATATGATATTATCTATCTATCTATCTATCTATCTATCTATCTAAAATATGTTGAGAAATATTTGATATGAAATTCATCTATCTATCTATCTATTTTATTTATAAATAACACATGCATATATAAGGCTGTTAATATCCTGACATATCCATATCTATCTATCTATCTATCTATCTATCTATCTATGAATATCTATCTATTTTATCTATCTAGTCATCCATGCATCTAAAATAGGATATCTATCTATCTATATATTATCTATCTATCTATCTATTTCATTATATATATATCTATCTATATCTATCTCATATCTATCTATCTATCTATCTATATAGCCATCCATGCATCTATCTATCTAATATTAGATATCTATCTATCTATCTATCTATCTCATATATCTGATATATCTATCTATCTATCTATCTATCTATCTATCTATCTATCTATCTATCTGTTTCATTCTGCTGATATTATCTATCTATCTATCTATCTATTAATATTTTATTTATAAATAAACATGTTTATATATATATATAAAATATTAATATCCCATATATATCCATATCTTTCTATCTATCTATTTATCTAATCGCCATCCATGCATCTATCTATCTATCTCAAACTGTTCATATCTCCCTCTCTCTGGCTCTACATTATTTATCTGTAAACCTAATTTTCATATCCTTCCTGCTTTGTCTGACCTTTGACCCAGGACACGTTCAGACGACCCTCCCCATCGTGACCGTTGGGCATGAAACGCATCTTTAAATCAGCTCACATTAGGCGCAAATCATGGTTCCCGCCATTATCCCTTGTGCCAACTCACCACACAGAAAAGACGGTCCACTGTCAGCGTTGAAGAGTCATACAGAAAAAAAAAAAAAAGAAAAGGTGAAGAATTTGATCAAATGACCAGTGGGTGTCGCCAAGTTGTCTTCCCTCTTTCAGGCCATCGGGAACGGGATACAATGTTGGGTTTAATGGAGTTGCTACGAAGCTCGACTGCTTAAAACTGCAATTAACTTTTGGCATTTGCGTCTTCGTCTAATCAACATCGGCTCATTTTTAACTGAATTCGAAGATTGAAATTAAATACAAATAATTTTGAAACGTTATCAGAGAAAAGCACACACACGCATTGAAAATCAATATGTAGGTTTACCAAAAAGTCATAACCCAATTACATACTTACACACATATATATATATAAAATATATATATATATATAATAACATATATATATATATATATATTCATGAATTATTCATATAAAAAACAAATACAAAGGTTAATGATTTAATTGGCGAGAAATCCATCGTCGCAAACAATTCAAATAATATACAAAAAACCCCGAACCTGTTATGAATGAAAATATCCTTGTTTTTATAAATTTCTATTGCATTAGTTCTTATTTTTACTACAAGCTTTCGTCTGTTCCTACAGACATCCTCAGGAATGGAATAGATTTTGTTCTTGTTTTTACTCTCAGTAATAAGAGGACAACGAAAATATATGTATTGTTGTAATCCGAAAAATGCTATTAGAAATGAGTTATTGTTTTTGGAGCGTGCAGGAGCAATTTGAGTTTGATTTTAAATTTTACAATTGTGCGTTCTTGTACAAATATGGTGATAAGCAAAATTTTTTTACTGGTAAAAGCAGGTTCAAAAAGTGGCATGAACTATATTATCCAAAAAGTTGCACTTGGAAAAAATTATTTTAATTTCAATAAAGGTGCAATTAATTTATAAATTCATGAATTTATTCATATATATATATATATATATATATATATATATATATATATATATATATATATATATATATATATATGAAAAAAATATAAAAAAAAATAAAAAAAAATCCTAATATGCAATTATGCTGTTTTAATGTTTAATGTCAACATCGGACGTTTCGGTCTAGTAGACCATCTTCAGGACATATTCATAAAACATAATTAACATTAGACTATATTTAACTCAACATGAAAAGACGATGGACATAAGAGTAAGACTAATCAAAACAGACAACTGAAATTTTTCAAGATCAGCGTTCCGTTTCAATATGATCACGTGGGCGTCACGTGGGCGTCACGTGGGCGATAAGACATTTTTATATTTATAGATACTTTTTTTTTATAGATACAAATATTTAAGTAAATGCTCTGTTTATAATAAACAGTATTAAATAACATTTACCGGCCTGAATGTCCGAGAAATTTGCATAGAAAATATTCGTCCTCCGACAGGATTCGAACCTGTATCCTATACGGAACCGTCATTTAGCTTGACGTGCCTTGGACACAGAGGAGCGTTCGGCTAGCATATATATATATATATATATGTTTTGAACAATAAAAAATATTAAAAAATTAATATCTTCAGAGACACTGAATTGTGTATTAATATTCTTTCGTTTTTTATTATTTCAGATTCCTCAACTAGTTTCGGCCAACATGGCCATCATCAGGAGAAAAAAAAATCTGCTTGTTAATAGCAGTGAACTATAGAAATGAATGACTTGATGAAGAAAATGAACTTTTGTCTGTAATTTTCATTTTTGTTTTAACATGAATTTTGGTCAGACCTTGTGTTGGTCAAACACTCTCTTTTAAGTTGTTATTGAAGATAAAGGCTAGATGGATTCATGCTGCTCTGAATTCCCTTGGTCATTTTGACAGTTTTATTGGTTCCTGGAAAGGGGATGTGTCTATGTTAAGTGTGTGTGTTTTATTTGGTTCTTAGGGAGTGATTAAGTATGATGTGTGTAAGCGTATATATTACTGTGTGTGTTATCATTTGGCTCATTATATTTGAGTGAGTATGATGTGTGAAAGTGTGTATATTAGTATGGGTGTGTATATAAGTGTGAGGCGTCAACACCTCCGCAAGCATGTCTGTCATGTGTGGGTGAGAAATGTGGGTAGGTCCTGATTTGTGGGATTATATATTAATTCTATTATATATATATATATATATATATATATATATATATATATGATGATAGAAATTAGGAGGATTTGAGATAATTATAATTGTCATTCATCGAGTCTAGAAGACACCTCATCAGAATGCAGAAATCCCTGGACGGCCATTTTGTCCTATATTTGGGACTCATCGGCAGTGCGCAACCATTACCGAGAATTGAAACCCGAACAGTTACGATAGGAGGCGAACGTCATACCAACGGGATTCCGTGGCGAAGAGGTAACGAATCACACTCGATATAGCGTCTCTCGATCACATATTCCGTTGTGGAACTCATCCGAGTTTCTCTTTTACCCATAGGACTGTTCCCCCATGAGCCACGACTACTATTCTCAAGCCGATCAATCCAGAGTATTAGAAGCCGGTTCAAGCAAGGATATACAAATGATAGAAATTAAGGAGGATTTGAGATAATTAAGTAATTCATCGTGTCTAGAAGAAACTCCAACAGAATGCAAAAAACACTGGACGGCCGTTTCTTCTTATATTTGGGACTCATCAGCAGTGTGCATCCACTAACGGGAATTGAAACCCGAACAGTTACGTTAACATGCAAACGTCATACCAACTATTCCAAGTCTAATTTGAATTTGAAGAAAAATATTCACTAACTAAGGTTTTAATCTTTAATAAATTACTTTTATTTGTTTTGTGATGTACGGTGGCCGTTAATAATTAAGTATAACTCAAGACTTCAATAACGCTAAGAATGTTAAATGAGGACGCAGTGTGTTCTCTCTGGACAGAGATAACTCTAATGACGTGAAAGAGAGTTAGAGTATTGAAACTAATGGCGAGAATAAATTACGCCCTTTCGCCTACGCACTTAAAAAAATTAGACAGTTCTACTAGCCCTGAAACGTCGGCAGAGTTAGAATACCGAGATGAGAGGTGGAAGAGGTAGAATCTAGCACTATTTGTGTAGAGTGGTGGTGCGAGATGTGAGGAGAAGAAGTTTGGATCTCTGGGGGAAAACAATCCCTATGACTACTCCCAAGGAAGACGAATCATTGGAAGCTGTTTAAGAAAGCAGAATTAAGGAACAAAGAAAACATTTATTAAGATTGACGTGAAATCGAATACAAAGAATCCTTCGGCGCCATGCCAGTTTTTGGCCGATGTGCATATAACCCGTTAACTTTGAGAGCTCAGAGATTTCGCGCTGTGAATCCGCATCGAGAGATTGTGAATTACAAGTCAGCTTCCACCAGATTTCCTCATTGTAAAGAACGCTGAACGCAGCTCCTCCGGTATTTTAGACAAGGCCCAGTGTCACTATAGAGATTGATTTTCTTGTACCAATAGCTATATAAACCAACTGAAGATTAACACCATTAATCTGTCGTTTCATTTTTGTCGTAAAGATATTTTTCTTCCTTAATGCAGCACCCGCTACGGCTTGAACCCGCGTTGCTCTGAGATCAAGAACACAATGTGGGCAGATTTAGTGAGTATCGAAGAGGCCAGTGACCAACAACCAACTTGGACCAGTGTCTGCATTGACCAGTGCAGAGTTAGCCCTATGGTTAAAACGGCGTCCTAAGACCATGAATACCGGACTACTAAACGTGGTTAGTCGGCGGCAAAATGCTTTGCATTAATTGGTGACCGTGACGAAGGATTTGACCCTGGGTTGCCGACAGAGAACCATCAATCAAAGTTTCCAGCTCAACCAACCCCCGAGGAAAAGAAGTAAAGGAGAGGAGTAGAGAAAGGACAATGCGTTACAGGAGTAAGATCCAAAGGATTTTAGTCAATTGACTATAAGTTTCTGAAACTTTATCTGTGTTTTCTTGTTTCATTAAGTCGAGGCCATCACATGACTATTCTAGTGACAGGTAGGACACTTTTTTTTCTTATCTTGATTTCATTATGCACCTCGACGATAGAAAAACATTGTTTGTTACTAGATTTTGTCGGGTTGTCTCTCGTTTTGTCGGTTGATTAGATAGGTTGACATGAGACTCCAGGAAAATTGGAGGCAAGAAGGGGGGGTGATAAAAAAAGGGATAATATCTTCTAAGGAAATAAAATAAAATGCCGCCATTTAAATCCACTTGGCGGATGTGTTTGTCGATTCGTTGGAAAACGAGTGCATCTGAGACGATGTAATTAAATGGACCCCAACCAGATTATCAATAACCATATGTCTGGCAAGAGACAGTGAGAAATTGTGAAAGAAGGCGCGCAAAGTTGGGGAGTTGGAAATCAGGAACTTGGCAGCACTGTGGTTAAAACTTTGTCCTAAGACCCTGAGGACCAGACCACTAAACATTTGTTACACCAACAGGTGTAGGCAGCGGCAGGTGTTATATTATTTGATGTTCGTGACCAAAGATTTGACCCTGGGTTGCTGGTTTTATATTAATTGTTGTACGGACCAAATGCCCAGCTCAACCAAGCCCAGAAGTCGAGTGAAAAGGGTGAAAAAAGGAGAGATAATATCCCCTAAGGAAGTAAAATAAAATGACCCCCATTCAGGTTTGGTTTGATTTGTTTTGTTTTACGGCATATTAACATCTAA